ATTGTGAAATTAATTAAAATAATCATTATTCTATTAACATATCATATATAAAGACCTTCTAAACCTCAGTGGACCTCAGTCCTCACTGTTTACAAGTGACAAGCTGATGGCTGAATGCAGTCTGAGTAACAGTGACCTTGCCTTTTACCATGAGTGACCTTCTGTCTTTAATTCAGGGCAAGACCCCCAAAACCAACACTTTTTTTTTTTCACATGAGGACATCGTCCATCTGACCGTGACTTGAATAAAAGCTGTCATGCCCTCACACCACACTGGCCACACAGTAAACATGCAACTGCTAACTCAAAAAGAAAGAAAGAAAAACTGAGGATATAAAAACATGTAAGGTCTGTGGCTGCTATCAAATGGACCCATGGTTGTATGTGGCCACAACCAACATCGCCCGTTGTGGGCTCCACATTTTGAATCCTGCATTTCCATCTTTTTTTAGAACCAGAAGTGAACACATCTGGATGAGTGGGTGGAAGCTTGGTTGTCAAGGTGCATCCATAGACTGCGTGGATGCATCATACAGACACAGATGTCTACTATTTAGTGGAAAAACAACATACAAATAAAATGTTAGAACATCACTCAGCAAACTTAAAAGAGACTTCCTGGAAAGTCTGAAAGTACAATTAACAACACAGCAATCCATATCATTTGTCAGCTAACTGCATTAAAAAGGCTCCAAAAGGCTGCATGGTTGGAAGGTACTGTTAGTGACTTGAATCAGCAAACAGCTAGCATTTATCCACCTCTGTCAGCACCCACCTTTGAGTGGTAGGACTAGAAAAGTGAAATACCGTTCCAATTGCTCATAGCAGTTTAAATAACATTTAAATGGATAAATTCTAACAAAAACCTAATCTTCCCAAAAAGCTGGAAATAAGCTAAAGAGAATGAATAAAATGCTTTTGTACCAGGCTGTAGAGTTCAGCGATTTAATGCTGGAGTCTGTGGAGATTGACTCGCTTTTGGAGACAGCCTCAAGTGGCTATTACAGGAACTGCAGTTTCTGGCAATCCGTGCTGGCTTCCATCTTTCACCCCTGAAGGTTGCAGCTTGGTGTCAGCTGAAAGGAAGACTACAATATATGAGGTCACGGTCAAGAGTAGAACAGCCAAGAGGGAGAAATTTAAACTTTATGAAAAGCATGACTTATTTTTCATAACTGTAAGAAAGATTTGTGTACACAAAGCTAATGTTTTATAACTTTGCATGAATGCTTCTTTGCATTTAGAGTCAGACACACTGTGATACACGCCAGCAAAAAACTACACATCTTAACTTGTGGAGTGTGGTCATCTGTTTGTAAGTTTTACAACCCTTGGAGGGATACATGATGACGTAAGATGTAGTAATATTTGCAAAAACAATCTTTACAGGACATTTTGATACGTGACTGTTTTGATTAAAGTCAATTTACAGCATAGCCACATAATCTTTTTAACTTGGGAAAGCAAGCATAAAAATCAAATGGTCAGTGAGTATGTTACCAACTTTTCCCTATTAACTCACCCTTGTGTGAGGAGCCTGCAATCTCTCTATAATCCACATCCCCTGACCCCACCCTACACAGCTTTCTCCAGCCAAAGAGTCACAGCGTTCCTCGTCGACAACAGTGTCTAGCTGGGCTTAAGAAGTGACCCAGAGCGTAACTAAAAAACTCTGAGCTGTCTCAAGACTCTTAGTAACTGGGACACACAAAACATCATTACTGAGATGTGGATAATTACAGTCCAAAAGAGCGGCCTCCTAAGCATGTAATGCACTCTTTTATCTTAAGAAGTCAATCTCTCCAAAGCTGACAGCTTGCAGCATATGATCCTGGTAAACAAATACTTTTGCGCGGCACAAAAGTGCCATTAAAGGCCAAAACTGTCAACACAAATTCCATTCTTAACTTGGAGCGGGAGGGAACCAAAGTGCAGCGGGGAGGGGGGGACGGACGTGATCACTTCTGGTTGCTTTAACTTGCACGGAGGTACGGAGGTTGTCATAGAAACATTTCTATGAAGGGATATAACATGAACACATGCCATTTAATCACCTTTAAGTTTATGTAACAGGGGCTGAGTGAAAACACACTGGATGGGCTCACTGACGAGGTTAGATAAGTGATGCTGCTAGTGCGCCACTCCCTCAAATTTCTTAACCATGCATGCCCCCCCCCCGAAAAAAAAGAAAAAAGAAAAGAAAAGCACCAACACCTCAAGGGTTGAGTGAACAGTCTGCTTCATTACAGTGGTACTGGGGGATGGGTGATGGTGCGATTCAAACACTAATCCAAAAATGAGTGTTTCATTATCTAAAGAGCCAAAAACAACACTGATGTGATCTGTGTATAAAAGCCACTTTCTTCTAATCAAACCCCCCCCACCCCCTTTTTTTTATTTTGCACAGTGCACAATAAAAAACTGTGGAAACTGTGCAAGTTTCCACAGGAGTATTAGAATAAAAAAAAATAATAAACACAAAGGATTTTTCTACTTGAGTTCAGCTAGAAGCAACAATTCTCATATCTGAGACAAAATCATGCATCAACCAGCGTTCATTGAGCTGAAAGCCGAATCTTAATTTTGATAAATGATTGAAACATATGACAGGGTATACACATTAATCCTGTGGAGGACATTCATTTTCCTATTACCATAATGTAGAGCACGACCACCCAATGATGAATGCTGCAATCAAAAAATGGACGCAGAGTGGGGAGAGCCGGGGTAATAAGTGCGCTGCTCCCAACAACGGTCAGTCTTGAAGGGAGACTAATGGCAGGTCTCTCTGCATCTCTCCCACTGCCTTAAGTGGGTAAGGGAAGGAGAAGAATGCATCCTGTTTTACAAAATCCAGTGGCCTCACTTACCAAATGCAAGGACACCTAAACAACAAGTAAACAAGAGTCTGTTTTAAACACACTTTGAGAAATAATTACAGGGGCATTTCAACAAAGGTTGATTGTGCGCTGTCGCTGACATATTTCACAAGGGGCATTTATTGCCGCCTGGCCTTTGAAGAGTGAGAGCTGCTGAGTGAGGGGGGGAACTGGCCCACACCTGCATAACTGAGGAGGGAACACCTGTGCACCCTGCGGCTTGAACAAGTAAGGTCGATCCAGCTAATCCAGGGGTGAAAGCTGATCAGAGGACAGGCCTGAAGAGTTCTGCAGCTCCCAGTGCCTTGTTAGCCTTTCTTTACCAAAAGAGAGGGGGAAAAAAAGTTACATCTATTGATTTTTGGGCCACACTTGATTGCAAGACAGGAGGGACAGGGAGTGTGAAATAGAGGAGGCCAGCAGAAGATTTTTTTAGGAGCTTGTAATGTTTAGAGAAATTAGTCTGAATTGGAGGTTTATCATGATGAAAAGCAATACACTACCAACACCCCTGTCTGTTTCTGGACAACGAAAAAAGATGGAATATAAAAATGGAGCATGCAACTACGGTAAGCTGATTAATCGTAGATATTGATAACGCAGACAGCAGTCATGCAGGTAAAGGATCATTAAATCTAAATGCACCTTTTGAGCTTAAGAAGCTGTGACAGTGGTATTTAAAGAAAAATATAACTGAGCACTAGTGGAACATGGTTTTAAAACCACCAGTCATATGTGATATCATTATATGGCTAGAACACTAAAGGATTGCACTGAAAAAGAATTAAACTGACTTCATATCTTACACACAGAAGCTGCAATAAGATGCAAATCAAATCACAGTTTCCTTCTTTTTTTTACTAATTACTACAACGTAGTAGGTAGCTGCATAAAAAATAAATTCAGCTGGAAAATAAAATAGCTTCCAATTAAATTCATGTAGATACTTGTCCTCTATGTAGTTTTTTGTTTATTTTTTTTCTAGTGAAGACTATATATATATATATATGTGTGTGTGTATATATATATATATATATATACACACACAAAAAAAAGAAACAAAAGAATTGAGCTGGTTTCGGAGCAAACTTTTTAAATTAATTTTTAAATATTTAATTTATCACATAACGGTGAATAAAAATCGGTAAATAGCCTAATTCTGTTAGACATGTGTAATAAATATGTTAGAAAATTAACAACTTGTTTTATATCGTCGCACTTAAAAAAAAAAATCAGCGTTCAGCTTTCAGAGCAGGCAAAGACTGGACAGTGCTCTCAAAAGGTCCTAACAGTTTTTTTAAGCGAATACCGAGCTAAGGGAAATCTGTCAAAGCAGCTCGCTAACTCCGAGCGCAACGTGTAAATAATAACCCAACAAAAAGCAAAAACTTGACAACCAGCGGTTCACTTCCTAATTCAAATGCAGTGGACAGAGAGGTTTAGAAAAAATAGTCAAAGGTTTTCGGAGACTAATACGCTCCTGCGCAGGAAAACTTACCACGAGAAACGGCAGGTATATTTCCCTAAAGTCAAAGTGGACACGCCAGGTGAGAAGCCGTCGTCCTCTACACTTGCAGCCGTCTTCGCACGTGACTGTCCAAGTTCACCATAACGCAGAGAAAATGAACAACAAGCTGCAGAGTAAATAAAAAAAAAGCTCAAATATTCCTCCGCTGGGCACCGCTGTCGGAGACAGACACACACACACACACTCTCTCCTGCGGTCTCCCGTCAACGCCGCTGTTATTACTAATGCAACAGAGAGAAAAGCAATATACTGAGTCCTGTTTGAATGACGCGCAATGCGAGGAAGAAGAAGCGGCTTGTTTTTTTTTTTCTTTCTTTCTTTCGTTACGATTCAAACACACATCAGGCAGCAACCCGGCAAGCAAGTAGTATATTTGGGACTAGAACCCCCCCAGGGGAGGCACTTGCTTGTTCGCGGAGGTGTGTTTGTTATTTTTGGGCGTACTGCGACCCCGTGTGACGTCAGGGCCACCTGCTCTGTAAACAAAAAAAAAGTATTTTTAAAAGTTTGCTCCCCCCTTTTTTCACTCTTCGCTAACGTTTAACTATTAAGTATTTTAGCGGGGAGAGCTGCTGCCCGTGTGAGGAAGCGTTCACCATAGTTAGATATTATTGTTGGGGATTGAACTGGTAACATTCCACTAATGGGACGATCCCGCCAACCAAAAAGCAACATTTCTTGTTTTTGATAAACTTGACTTTATATGCTAAAACTCGCAAAGAAGTAGTGCGAAACCATCCGCTATTAAACTGAAGAAAAGAATCAATATATGCCTTTAATGTTCCTGCAATATTTCATCAAGAGGATCTGCTTTTATGTAGCAGCTTCCTCCGGCATACATCAATCGTGACTGTTTCCCTTTTGAATCTTTTTAAGGAATAGGTCATTTTGTGTGTTTTCTCCTCTCAAATTTTGCGTAATTAACCGACTTTCATAAACCTGCACGACAGGATTTTTTTTAAACAAATAATAATGCAAATGAAAGCATCGATGGAAACAAATATACCTTAAAATCTTCAGCAGCTTTCGAGCCAGAATTTAAACTGCACCTCTCTCATCAGCAGTGGCATTTTTAAAGCTGGCGTTTTTACGCGCACGTCATTAAATTGTAGGTTTGCAGATAGAAATATTCGCGGTTGTCTACAAGTGTTTACACTGAGAGGATGATTGGAAACCAGTGCGTGAAAAACATAATATCCTAAACGCCATCATCATTATGAGTGTTATTAAAATTGTGGTTTAGTGTAAACACGTTTAAGGTTAAACTCTGTATACAGAAAATCACTGTTGAATAAATACTTTACAAAAGAAAAACATACGACAACATGTACAGATTCTTGACTGGAGGATTTTATTATTACTTATTCTGTCATACCTTTACAACGTAATTTAGTGTATTTATTCATCTAATAGTAGATCCGAAGCCAGTCAAACACTGAGCACAACCCTGAGCAGTAGTTAAAATGATTTGCTTTCTTCTATCTCGTCTTTCCTCTTCTTTCTTTCTTTTTTTCTTTCTATCCCCCCCCCTCCCCCTTTTTTCTTCAAACGCTACGATGTTCATAGCTTAGAAATAAATATTCAGAATAATATCAAGTGGGAAAGGAAAAGGAGTAGGAGCTAAGTGTTTTGCTTAAGAAGGGCGATTAGTGCATTTAAAGATTATATATCTGGTGTTATTTATGTTACAAATAATTGAGAGAAACACGGTTGTAGGTGATGTGTACATGTTGCTGTGTAGTGTGGCCATGTGAATTTAATATACAATAAAAGATGTATTGTTATTACCATTATTATTGTTATTACTGACTAAATACGTAAATATTTTTTAAAAATACATTATCTTTTAGTTATTATTATTCTTATCAGCATTATCCTGAAAGCTGTTTCCTGTTGGCGTGTATGCACGGAATACCCCTATTATATTCTGAAATCATCTGAAAAAATACAGTATTAGACACTTATCTGTCTGATGTAATATAAACTGGGATTGTTCCAGTAATTTTGTGGTATACGCACACAGTCTTTTCTACCGTTTTGTGCTTTTGTTTGTGTTAAAAATCTTTATTGCAACTAAATATTCCGTGAAATGTGAATTAGAGGAAGCAGCATCTGCAAAATGATGAGGACATGAAGGGAAAAGCAATCTCGTGGAATTGTGACGGTGGTATGCCGCCACCTACTGGTCATTCTTTAAAACAGAAAACAACTTTCTGATGAAGGTAACTGGCACAGGAAGTCTTAGGTACACAGAAGAAATATTAATATTACCTTTTCCTTCTGTAATGATCTTGTTTGTGGACAAGGCTAACTGTACGCCTGGAACTCATTATCACACTAAGGGAGACTAAAGTGGAAATGCAAATGAATTTTAACTTGTGCTGACATGAATTTTACTATGATCACATAGTGCCATCTACTGATAAAACTTAGTCACACAATTCGTCTTGCATTTAGACATTTTTTAGCATTCCTGCTACTGACTGTATGCATTTAGTGTTATGTATTTTATATGATTGCACTTAGCTGTAGCAAATTAACACTTGTCACATGTCTGCCTTTTCATACGCTGCAAATGATGCAACTTAATCATTAAAACTGCAGTTGAAAAGTCCAAGGAGAGCATTTTTGCCTTTAGTATGAAGAACAAAGGGTCCTTTGGGGGAAAAGAAAACCCACTCACACACTTGTAAAAGATTATACAACAAGCACCAATGTCTATTTACAAGATATACAAGATCTGGGGGGTATACTTATCCAGCATATCAAGGATTAGTTGAATTAAACTTCCTATCTGAGATCACTTTGTGCAAAATCATGCCAGTATGCACACGCACACAGCCAAAGAAAGAGTCCAATCTCATAATAATGTTTTGTTTTGTTGTCCAAGATACAGTGAAAATTAAGTCTGCTTTAATGTCGATGATACAAGAGAGTCCCTGGCCTTCTATGAACAGCAACAGAACTAATACTAATTTGATACATTATTGATGACAGTGTGGACATGCTTTCATTTCCTTGTCCACGTGGAGGTGACTAGTCAGCTGCAGCTCCCCCGCAGTGGGTAGGATGATACTTTTCTTTCTAGGGGACATTTCAGCAGGGGACACACTTGGTAACACAAGGAATTTAGGTGTGGCAATTCAGTTTCAGTTTCAGACCAACTTACTGTAGCTTCCTATGGTACTTCAGTTGATCAGTGTCAGTAAATACTTTGAAGCGGCAGCACTAATAGTTACTTTGTCTGGAAAATGCATTTTACATTTTATTGCTTTTAACACTGGTGAGATTCCTGAACAAAAACTAAAGCATCTCAGAGCTGTTCTCATATGTGCGCCTTATGCTAACCATCAGTCCTTAGGTTGATCGATCACTCTCCATTTGTGCTGTTTCAAAGGATGACTTTTCATCAAACTTTAGTCTGTTGAGCTTTAGATTTATACCCAGAGGCCTGATCACCATTAAGTAAAACTAGACAACTGCTTTTACAGTGTAGCCAAGAATGCAGAGATACTGTATCAGGTGTGGATTGTCGAAAAGCAGGTAGAAATTTTGCTATGTGAAACTTTTAAGACTTTGTTGCTGCAAAGCAAGTAAATGTAAAATAAAATAAAAAACTTCAAAGTAGCTTCAAGTATGTCCTTTTTCTGCACTAATTTTCCATTGTAGAGCTCTGTAAATGCTTTGCTTTCATGTAGTTATGATGTTACTAACAAACATATTATGAGAGTGTAACCGCGAGGATAACAGGCCAGCCTTGGTCTAGTTATATGTGTCCTATTAATAGGCCTGGCTAAGGCTCACGAGCTTCGCTGTAACCGAACTCCATCTGTCAAGTCACGTCCTCTCCCTGCTCTCCCCTCTACACTATCACTGTAGCCGGGCGAGGGTCACTCTGGTCTGTGCCACCCTCCTAGTGGACAGACGGCAGGACAGGCAGACAGCTCAAGACCATCGCGTATTATGGAGACTCTGTGTGTTCAACCCTCGCGACAGGACGGGCTGATGATGGAGGAGGAACAAGGGAAAAGTGGAAAACAGGATGAGGGGGGAATGAAGGCCTCTTCTCTCACGGGCTCCACCACAGATGAGGAGACAGATGACGACTCGGAACCAGAACCCCCACCAGTTATTCGCAGGAAGGTGTCTTTCGCAGATGCATTTGGCCTAAACCTGGTCTCTGTCAAGGAGTTTGACAGTGCTGAAGCGGCAGAACTAGAAGTCAGTCGGGCTGCTGAGCAGGAGGCACTTCATTCATTAGAGGAGCTCTATATGTGCTGTCTGTTTACAGTCCCGTCATCCCCGGAGGAGCTGGAACAGAGGCTGCAGGCACAGATGGTCGAGCTGGAGAGCATTGAACTCCTCCCAGGGACCGCCACCCTTCGAGGCATCGTCAGGGTGGTCAACCTCTGCTACAGTAAGTCTGTTTTTGCCCGGATCACTCTCGACCGCTGGAACAGCTGCTTTGACCTCCCGGCAGACTATGTGCCCGGGTCCAGTGATAGAAAAACAGACAGGTTTGCCTTCAAGTATACTTTGGTGCCTCCGTTTGAGAGAGAAGGGACTAGATTGGAGTTCTGTCTCTGTTATGAATCATCAGCGGGCACATTCTGGGCTAACAACAAAGGACTTAACTACGTGATGTTCTGCCACCAAAAGGGACAGATAAAGGAGCACGGGCCTCACATGCAAGAGGAGAGCTACAAGAGCAAGAGGAGCTGTCTCAAAGCTAACAGGTGTGAAAGTCTGAGTTTTTTTAAACATGCCTTTCTGCAGAAGGAAGTCACTTGTATGTCAACCAAAGCCTTCTGTGAGACTTTTTTGTGTATTATAGCGAGAACGGCCCTGTAGCTACAATTACTGTGGAAGGAAGTTTGAAATTCGGCACAGTGCAAGTGCACTTACACTGTGCTGCTCTTCTCATTAAGAGAAGTCATTGAAAGCAATATGCTCCACTAACTGGGCCATTGTGTGTTTACAGTGAGGTGTTATGTAACCATCCAGTGGCCTGTAGAACACACATTGCCCATTTATGGCCAGATGTATGCGCCGGTTTCCATGACGTCTCCACTGTAGCAAGATATGCTCATTTTATCCTCTTTGACCCCATCTGCAAAATTCTTTTTTTATGCCTGAAGAATTATAGCTCCCCTTTATGTGCATGTTCTGGCTTTGAGCTGCTGCAGCACAAGGGCCAGATAATGCACCAGACAAACATATTTCAAAGGCCTCTGGCGCAGATACACACTGTCTGGATGTGCATAATAGGCATTTTGTATACTGTGTAGCATAATTATACAGCACGGCCAGTTGCTGTTCAAGGCGTGTCTTTAATAAAAGATTGAAACCTGTTTTCTATTATGCCATTTGACTTGAACCCCAGTGCTCGAGGTGTTTATGGGGACTTTAAGCTTCGCGAAATTATGAAACACAACATCTGGAGGACAGAGAGCAACAATACCCCTTTTACTACAAAAAGATCTGATGAATACTATACATAATGGATTGTTAAATTAACTATCTGGTACTGTCTGGAAAACATCTTATGTCACGCTAGCCATATCTTATTTTGAACAACAGGAATGGAAGCACAGTGGAGAAGACCCGGGATAATGCTAACACAGCAACAGTTGCTACAGGTGTGTACTTAGTGTTTATATATGCATGCATGTGTGCATATATGTTTTAATGTGCAACAAAACTTTCACCCTTGCCTTTTTTTGGTCTTCTGCAGAACTAGAAGCAACACAGAGAGCAGAAAAGGCCCACAGGCAGACACTGGACAGCAAAGATGTCCAGTTATTACTTCACAGTGATGAGCACAGAACTGTGGTGAGGCTCTTTTTATATTATTTTACCCTACCCCAAATGATAATGAAAAACATTTATTGATAATGAAGTAACGTGCTAGGCCAGAGGCTGCAGTTTGAGGTTCAGCAGTTCCCACCATGCTTTTAAGAGAGGATGAAAAACAGAGAAAAAGGAGTGGCAGTGTGGGTCATAGGGATTTACAGAGATAACGCCAGAAGGGGTAATGTTTGGGGTGTCTTCAGTGTTTTAGAAAATTAGGAAACACCAGCATCGCCAAAAAGTAAACTCCCCTAGCCATAAAATGTATGTTGTGTCATCATAAAAATGCAGTTCTTGTTTGTCTCCAAGGTACAAATGATAGCTGAGGAAGTGGTGCATGTTATACTGCACAGTGAGTCCCAGAAGGGTACATGAAGTTAGCTAACCTGATACTTGGGAACACATCTGAAATCCTTCACATTCAGTCCATTAATAATACATGGAGCATACTTGTAAACATGTGGGAAAATTGATGAGTCAAACAAGAATAGGTGTGAAGTTGCTAGATTATTGAAATGCATTGCATGTTGGATATATAAAAATACTCAAAGGAAAGGCACATTTTTAATCACCAGCCAAATATCAGGGTTTCGCCAGCACAGTGACTTAACAAAGCTCACTGCTTTGACTTTTGGCCTTTTTTGACAGGTGGAGAGCGTAAAAAGCAGACGCAAAGCAGCACGTTTGGCACGTGTGCAGGACTACCTCTCCCAAAGAACGCATCAAGAATCCAAGAATCTTGCATGTGACTCAGCCAGTGGCCAGAAAGCCTCTCAGTCTATGCCGGCTCCCTGGGGTGACTCTGCCAGCTTGCTCTATAAATACCAAAAGGCGCAACCGAACGAGTGCCCGCAAGTCCTCACCTACCATCAGATTCCTCTCCTTACACTGGACTGGAGCAATGACAAACCCCAGCAGTGGGAGACGGCTGACGCGGATGACATCTGGAGCAGAAGAGCTAAAACGATCTTGTCAAAAGAAGAAAACACACCTTCTGCTGATGACATGTGGGAGACCTTTCTTCCTGGGACAGATGATACTGACAATAAAAAAGCCTCTGTGTGCGATGCGTGGCAGGCCTTTCTTAATGGGCCCGACCATTCTAACGTTCCAGAGTCAGAATGGCTGCAGACAGCAGCATCAGTGTCTCCTTCAAACGACAAAGGGCTCCAACCCCAATATTCAGCATTTCGAGAATTTCAACTGGGTGCCAATATTCCTGCCGCCGCACAGGCACACTGCTTAGATGCACGTCAGCCTCTGTCAGACACATGGGGAGAACTGCTTGCTAATGTTGCCTTGAACACCGAAGACCACCAGCCAGCAGAGGCATGTGTCACCAGCCCAAGAGATGACAACGCAGCAACACAAGACGCATCCCAAAGGTCAGAGACGAGCTCTGTAACAGACACTCCACAGAAACTTTGCCTCGAGGGGGCACCGCGGTCCGAGGACTCTATTGACAGTTCAACCGAGTGTCACAAGCATGTGGTCCGGGAGCCAGAAAGAGAAGGAATAATAGGAGGAGCAAAAGAAGTAGAAGAGGAGCCCATCACATCACACATGGCTGACTTAATAACAAGCTCAGGGGAGTCGGAGACAACAGACATGACAGCAATGCCAGGGTTTCAGAATGCCAGTGCTGTTGATAGTATCTCACAGGGAGCAAGGCTGGATGAGGGTCTTTCTTCCACCGGGGAAGGAGAGGTTACAGGTACTACACACAATGGTGTAGATGACATGCTGGCATTTAGGGAGACAATCAGACAAGGGACAAAGGATGGGGCGAGGTATGTTTCTTCCACATCCAGAAAAGGAGTGGAGGAGGAAGACATCATGATGAACTATACGGAAAATAAAGCATCTACAGAGGAGGAGATATTTAGGCCACACAGAACAGAAGAGAGTGAAACCTCCCCAAGGTATGCAGATGAAATGCAGTGTGAGCAATTTGGGCCAAACAGAAATGGCGGAAATCAGCAGGAGAGTGATAGAAATGAAACAGGACCTCAACATCTACACGATGGTGGATTTGATTCAAAGCAGGAAAACAAAATCGTGGCAGCTGAATTGAATGAAGGCGTTCCATTGAACACCAAATGCGTGACAGCACTCGAAGAGACAGAGCAGGAAACTTACTTTTCAACAACAGGTGAGGAAACAAAGGGACTAATAAGTACAGCAGAGGAAAGGTTCCAGGCGTTAGATGATCAAGCATGGCAACATAATGATACAGCTTTAGATGTGAGTGCATCAATAATTTTGGATGTGCACGACAAACAGTCACAGTCAGTCCAAAGAGGCAAGGAGCCAAAAGTTGAGATGAAGCAGGAATCACAAATGGAACAAAGTGGAGTGAAATTGAAAGAAGGTGAGCACGGATTAAACTTCAACAAGACAGAGGTGGGAAAAAGCTTTAGTTGCAACGGAATAATAGCAAATCCATCAGAACAGACGAGACCAAAAGAGAAATCAAATGAAGTCAACCAGGCTTTCCAAAGTGGCTGCAATACATTCAGACCTCCAGCAAATAAATGCAACCCAAAGGGACTGGAAGTGGTTGAAGTGGGATGGACCGATTCACAGGAAGACACGGAGGGTCAAAATGAGAACATATGCGGTGAAACGAGCCAAGAGGAAATCGAAGTAAAAGAGAATGTCGCAAAGAAAGACACTTCAGCGGAACACCAATCTGAGACGTTACAAAGACTAGAAGGAGATACGAGTCAGGAAGACAGAGATGAGATGATGAGCATTCGGGAGCTGAAAATGGAAGCAGGGAGGGAGTTAATGGGTAATGTGGAGGGCCCTCAGGGGGAGAGGAAGAATGCACCGGCAGAATTGAAAGAAGAAGAAGAGTTGTCAGCAGAAGTTGAGAGCTTTCTGCGTGTTGAATATAAAAAGCTGTCACATGGAACAAAAGAACCTATTATGGGAGAAAATACTGCATCACTTGAGGTGATAGAGGTGGGATTGGAGGAGATCTTCATAGAAAGATTTGTAGAAGATTTGGTCAGGGGGATTTGGGAAGAGGTCTTTGGCAGAGAAGTGCAGGCATCAAATAGACACACTGATATTGTTGATGGAATGGGGTGCATGCTGAGAGATACTACACAAGGCTGCCATGTTCTTTTTGAAAAAGACTTCAATGACACTTTTGATTCAGGGGTATTTTCCTTGACGGAATTACCAACAGATCCAAACTCAAGTTTCTGTCAAAAGCTGGAGCAAGCTGTATCCACTAAAGGCCATGAACGCTCTGTGGTAGAAGGAAGTAAGTTACTTGACATAGCAGAACAAGCTCACGTTGTCTCTGAATCACATGCAGATTTGATTTTGAGTGCTAATCCCAGTCACAATCTCACCACCACCTCAGATGCGCATAGTCTGCAATCATTGCCTGAAACAACTCCAGCTCTGGCAGAAGCTCCGATGGATCTGGAAAGCCACACTCACATAAAAGAAAGATCGGCTGCTCGTTGTGAGACAGGCAGACAAATAGAAGGCTGTGTAGTTGCCCATGGAGAGATTTTTAATAAATCAGCCCACCCATCTCACAAACATCCATCATCTTCCTCAGAGAAATTAAAAGAGGCCGATGGTCTTGTATGGTGCAGTATATTATATATCCTCAGTCACGTCACCAGACTTCTAATCTATGCCCTCTTAATTAGTGGATTCTTTGTCATTGTTTTCCTCTATGATTTCCCATCAGTCTTAGCTCTCTACATATTTTCATTATCATGGTGGTTTTATAAGTGGAAGAGACAACACGTGATGACAGACAAGGAGATGGTGGGATAGCCTAAGATTTAAGAAAAAGCAAGAGTGGTGAAGAGTGCTACATCAGCACACTACTCTAAACTGTAATGTCCACTACCATGTACAGTGCTATTAGTGTGTTTGTGAGTGTGTGTGCGTATTTCCCATCTATTAAGTTACTTAATAGACTGATTCCAAAACTTTTTGGGGTTGGCGAACCATTAAACCTGAACACAATATACTACGTACCTGTCTTTGGACTTGCGTGCATTTTTTTGGTTAATTTAAATACAGTCTAGTGGTTAAAAAATGGTTTAAGTTACAATAAGACTCACTAAACAAACAGAATTTGGTGCAGAAATATGTTTTTGTTGTTGCATGTTTTGTAACGCTATAAATCTGTCTTGCAACTCCAAGTAGTCGATCTAATTTGAGTTCCCATTAGGGCGTCATTCTGTGGTTAAAAAAAAAGACAGAATAAAGGAATACAATAAACTTCAAACTGAACTGAACGTTGTTAAAATCATAGGAATTTTCACCTTTTGTTGAATGTTTTAGTCCACAGAAATGTTTAAGTGTATGACGTGTGTATGTTTGCTGTGTTTTATGGGCCCAATACCACTTTATTATGTAACAAATGGAACAAATTTCCTTGATTTTCTTCAATAAAAGAAATTCATGTGACAAAAAAAAATACAACAAAGAAACCCCCATTGTTTTTTAAATTGACAAAGCAAGATTTATTTTGCCCTGGACATTTTCATATTTCACAACTGATGAACTTTGCATGATGCATGTTTTATGACACTACAGCTTTGTGGTTTGTTCACTACCAGTGTTGGTCAAGTTACTTGAAAAAAGTAATCAGCAACTAATTACTGATTACTTACCCCAAAAAAGTAATCACATTACTTTACTGATTACTTATTTTCAAAAGTAATTAATTACTTAGCTACTTTTTAAAAACAGGATTTACAACCTGAATAGGTAATAAAGCAATAGATCTTTCAGCCCAATTCTGCTTTTTCTGCATAATCCATCATACAAAATGTAATCAAATGGAAAAGTCTCTTTTTAAAACTTGTTTTATACATTTTAATCTTTTAACTTTATGCATCAAGCAAAAATTTAATTATATGCAACATGCACATAAAATATTTTTTTTTGTTTGTGTTTACACTCACTCTTTAAAATAGATGCAAGTAAAACACAGCAGAAAATAAATAAAATCAAAGACTAGCTGTCCTGTTGCTCTATTTTCACCTGTAAAGCAGGAGTGGGGTAGGCGGAGGTTTGCCCTGGTGCAGGTGTGCCGCAGTGGTCAGTTGAAGAATCTCTGTGAATTTCCCATTACGTCGTAGCGCACTCGGTGCTTGCTTGGAAGTTTAAGGGGGTTTTTTGCTGTAAAAAGAAGTTTTCTTCCCACGCAGTGAACAGCGGACACTAATGTTTTTGTCACTTTTTACGGAATCAAACTCAAAGTAAGGTCAGTACTTCCACGCTTTAAACGCTGCACACTCTTACTCTCTCCCGCACTCGATATATTATCCATTGTTGATCTGCACACAGCTGTTGCCATGAACGTTGCACTCGCTTACGTCACTGTCATGAGATTCTCGCAAAAAACCCCCCACGGTTTTAGTAACGCAGTAACACAGCGAAAGTAACGATAATCTAATTACCGTTTTTGCAATAGTAATCCCTTACTTTAATCGTTACTTGAAAAAAGTAATCGAATTAAAGTAACGCGTTACTGCCCATCTCTGTTCACTACTTCCTAGACTTTGATTGTACAAGGTCGTTATACTTACTGTAATTATTCATTGAGACAATGAACTAAAGTAAGTCTTTAGAGTACTCACATTATATTTTTATTGTACTATGTTTTGCAATTCAAGTAATTTGTTAGTTGCACAGCCCTAGGGACCAGTCAGTGACCCTCTGGAAAACTCCGGTCGCTATGGAAAAGTGTATACTCTGTGAAAGGTTGGCAAGTGGGTGCTGGGAGTTGGTTGCTGTGGTCAGGTGAAATTAGTTTTTAAAAAAGTTACTGCTATGGACAGAGAGGTTTTTGTTTCCCTTATTTAACTTAGCAACAGCGATCAACTTCCACTATCATCTTTCCAACCAATTGGTGAATATATATTTTTTTCCTAGTAACCACATGTTCCCAGGGGGTTTCTGACCTGCCTCTAGGCCTGCGAGACTGATTCCTAAACAGGAATGTGAGCTATTTTTAAAATGTGAGCACATTTGTCATTTGCTTTGGTTGTGACACAAGATGAAAAATGGAAAATATCCGAAGCAAATGCAGTGTTTCTGTCTTGCTTGTGTCAGTGTCCATCTTAAGGTAATTGAGGAAAGAAGCTAACGAGCTCAGCTTCATATTTTAAAGTAGCAAGTAGTTAAGCAAACCTTAGCTGGCTAGGCCAGTTGACTTAAAAGCGAGCTCCACAGAAGTTAGCTTTTAGCTAAGCTGTTACCCAGAGGAGAAGCTTGTTGCTGGTAATGTTGTGGAAGAGATGATCCTGTCATTAATTTACTTAAAACAGCGTCACAATGATATAGTCAGAGGTAAACTGACTGATCAAACATTCAAATAAGTCATGTTTTATATTTTTGTTTTCCAGAAGAATAACATTTTAATGATCAGATTAGTTCACTCTAAACCTTTGTACATGCTGACATGGATTTTTAAATTATGCTGCTTGGACAAAATGCAATGAATACAATAACTCCATCTGCTAATACACAAATGAACAGATTGTCAAGGTAGGTGGTGATGGAGAGAGGATCCAAAGGCAGGAAATGGAGGCAGACTGAATGAAGGAATAAAAAGAGCCTTCATTGGCTGATACAAACACAACATAAAGCCCAAAAGTGAACCAAGAAGGAATAAGAAATACCGGAACACAAAGAGTATAAAGATGACTATATCTACAAACATGGCTGATTGGTGAATCAACAACAGAAGGAACAGAACAGAAGGAAAGAAGGAAAAAAAAAAGAGTAATGTCTCTGCACAGCTGTAATCCCATATTCCATTTGTGCCTATGGCTTGTGCTGAGGACAAAAAAAAATATCCCTGTATACATGTTCCAACCCTACAGAAGGGTTAGGAAGACTGTTTTGATGATTACATGATCCCAAAGAAAAATGAATTCATGCATATTTCAGGCATGTATCTTGCAACACAATGTATTTCATAGCTAACATTTATTTTGGCACCATATTGACTATGGTGCTTGGGTGCCTGTGAGGCTCTTGTGTGACTCAATATTTTATCTGTTAGTGTACCACAAGCAGAGAGTTTCTCACTGTGTGACAATGTGTGCAATAAAGTGGCAGCTTGAGTGACACTGCACTCCAGTAGAAGTCACTTGATCCTGTCTGGGGTATGTTGACCTTTTGTAAGCTGGCTCCAATCCTATGCTGGCACCTTTAGAAAACTGGCCCAAAGCCAGTGTTTTCAGAGCAGAGGACTACTTTTTCTGTAAGGCCCTGTACTGATGAGACGCAGTGCAAATTTGGCACAAAGACTGTGGTGTGCACTGACAAAAAGTAGCAGTGACGGGAAGAATCTGAGAAACAAGGACAGAATCTTGATTATCTGGGGTTACCCAGAGGTGTAAGGCTGCTTGTTATTTTCCTGACTAGCTCGTATGCCAACGTGTAAGGATTATAAATTAATCAGTGCTGCACCAGGCGGAGGGATAAGGCTGCACATTTACAGATCTAGATAGCAGTGAGAGGTGCAGAAGCTGTTAGAAACCACAATAAATTGTATTTCCTTTTCAGCCCCCTCCCCTTCAAGATTTACAGAAAAATCTGCAACAAATGACAACAGAGTTTTAGTACTTATGGCATATTTAGCATTGAGATAGCTTAACCTTCACACACTACATAAATTACACATATTTCTTTTTCTTGTTCGAAATGAAGGGATGTTTAAAAGGAACCAAATGATTTGAACTAGGTTCACATCAGGCTGCTGGGTGTCACAGATGTAGCACTGATAACTGACTCTCTGGAACACACCCAGCACCTTGTGATACAAGACTAAAATGAGAGCCTGTCATCAGATGTTAATGCTCTCGTCACTCCTCCTCTCACATTGCAGTGTGGATTGTGTGTTAGCATTTGTAACTATGGGTATGTGGTTATATGGGGATATGGTGGCTATCCTGTGAGAGATACCCTCTATCCTATATAAGCCACCAAATACTTAAAAAGGCATCAACTGTTTACTTGTACTGTTGAATTGTGTTACCTTAGTGAGACCATGTTGTCTGTGTATTGACAAAGAGAAACTGATGAAGGAAAGGGTATATAAGCCTTTAAAATGTGTCCTGTTTTGTTGTACAGAATGTCAGTACTTCTGCTAAGGCTGATTAATCAGTTCATCTCGTAGTATAGTCTTACACATAAATGTCCACCAGCAGCTTTCAATAAAAAAAAATAAATGCAAATTTGTGCAAAAAAAAAAAAAAGTCATGCAATGACACATTTCTTCCAGCAGATGTAAGTGTGGCTCCATTTTTTAAAGAATCCACTAGCTGAAGATTGGAAACCAAAATTATGGTTAAAGGTTTTAGTAGTACACACACACACACACACACACACACACACACACACACACACACACACACACACACACACACACACACACATTTTAGATTTGTGCAGTCACTTTAATTGAAATGTGTGACAAAATCTATAAAAATCGTCAACTGAGCACGATGAATAGAGGCAGTCGATTCAGTGACAAATGCAACAGTCCTGTGGCAAAAAAATCAGTGCACACTGAAGTGCACTGGCTGGGACAAGAGGGTGCATGAGGACAGGATATGTGAGTGGAAGAGAGCGCAAAATGCGGCAGGGCCGTGTTGCGCGGCCTAAGGGGACCAGAGGCACTCTGCTGACAGATTGGAGACCTGACAGACTGCATAGTCCACACTCTTCCCGGTCATGGAACCGCTTTCTATTCAACCCTCTCTGCTCCGCCTCCCTCTGCAGTTGGCTTCCTGGGCTTTGCTCCCTCAACCAGCATCATCGGTCTGCGACCCTACACCAACCAACTCCGTCTCAGCTCTTTCCCCACCCCCACCCCTCCACCCCGCATCTAGGCCTTCCTCCTCCGCCATGCTTAGTGACTCGACATTCCCAGATGTCCACTGGCTCTTGCATCACTGAGACAACAAGGCTTTCTGCTGTTGCCACTTGACATTTGAAAAGTTGTACATGGGTGAGTGGGACACCATCACCCACTGTGTGGGTGTAATGTACAGGGTTCTTCTAAGAACAAAGCAATGACGTACTATCATAAGAGTGCATATTTTATGTGCTTCATGCCAGACTGTAGATAGGATGTAAAACTGATGGATGGCAGTTAATACACTTGTGCTTCTTCCACATTTCATAAATGTGGTGAATGACTCAAATAAAGTTGTATTCCAAAATGCGCATTCCACTTTAGAGTACTCACCACACAGTGTATCTTATACTTAGTACTCATTACACAGCTCCTACATCCTCTGCTTTCATTTGCAGCATTACCGTGATGACAGAGTTGTTTGTCATCTTTAGCGTTGAGATTTTTTTCATCGGTACAACGAGGAGGTGTGAGAAACAAATGAGGAAGATGAGCAGAAGAGGAGGAGGAGGAGGTGGAGATATATCACTCATACGGTATGCTGTATTAATGTGAGACTATTTGATTTAGGCAAAAACTGCAACAGCAAGAGGAGGATGACAAGGAAGAGAAGATAATGTGATATCAAACCCCATGTAACACTTCTCATAACAAGATTTCAAAGTCTATCCCGCTGGGGGGA